CACAGCTTTATATATAATCCTCCACTTTGGCTTTCATTTTGGGCCACCAGAAGTACCTTCAGGCTAGGTGGAGGGTTTTTGGAAGCCGAAGTGACTGGCTAGTTGTGAATCATGGCTGACAGTCAATGGCAGCAGCCTCAGTCCATGCAGTGCAGGTGAATTTATTCTCTGTCCAAGCAGCAGGGGAAGGCAGTGGTTGTGAGAGGCAGGCAATCTGGATGTGTCACATGGGCTGTGGGAAAGCTGAGAGTGGGTGGATTGGAGAAGGGAGGCCAGAGAGACTCATCTTCAAGCAGCAGCACCAGTAGCAGTAGCAGATGGAGACAGAGGTGCAGGAGGGAGGGAGGCGATCTGGATGAGCCACGCAGGGAAGTAGGAAAGCCAAGATTCACTGGGCTGGTGCAGATAGGTGGCTGTGGGAGCTCATGTTCACCTCTCTCAGTTTACCTGTGGCCCACATGGTGCATCAGGATTATCTGCCTTCCAGCCCATGCCTCTACCTCCATCTGCTGCGGCTGCTTCTGCACAAAAGCGAGCCTCCCACAGCCACCCACCCACACTGGCCCACTGATTCTTGGCTTTCCCATAGCTCATGTGCTACATCTGGATCATTTGCCTCTATCCATCCCCATGGGTCTGCCTCTATCTACTGCTTGGACAGGGAATCAACTCATCTGTGCTCCATGGGCTGCACAGCCCGTTAGTGCACCGACTAAGGGATCAGGGAGTATGCGTGCCCTCTCTTGTGTGAGCACTGGAGGGTCGAAGCGCTGGCTGATCATCCTGAAAATAAGCCTTAGTGATTATTTTGGAGGAGCCCCACCCCAAAAAAAATAAGACTGGGTCTTATTTTCAGGGAAACACAGTATTCAAAATTGCCAGCTGGAGGTTTTCTATTTTGAAGATCTGTGTTATGTTTATTTATTTATTTATTTATTTATTTATTTATTTATTTATTTATTTATTAATCAAATTTCTATACCGCCCTACTCCCGAAGGACTCAGGGCGGTGAACAGCCAAGATAAAATACAGATAATACAAATATTAAAAAAATCCCTTAAAATTATTAAATATTTCGGCCGAAACACAGATTAAAACACCCAATTTGTAAAATCACGAATTAAAAAATTTAAAAATTTAAAAGATGGGAGTTAGGCCAGGCCAGCTTGCTGAAATAGAAAAGTTTTGAGAGCACGGCGAAACATGCGCAGGTCCGGGATCTTCCGTATCTCTGGGGGGAGCTCGTTCCAGATGGTAGGTGCCCCCACAGAGAAGGCTCTCCCCCTGGGGGCCGCCAGTCGACACTGTTTGGCCGATGGCACCCTGAGGAGCCCCTCTCTATGGGAGCGTACTGGTCGGTGAGAGGCTATTGGTAGCAGAAGGCGGTCTCGTAGATACCCCGGTCCGATGCCATGGAGCGCTCTAAAGGTGGTGACCAAAACCTTGAAGCGCACCCGGAAGACCACCGGGAGCCAGTGCAGCTCGCGCAGGAGGGGGGTCACATGGGAGCGCCACGTCGCTCCCATAACCACCCGCGCGGCCGCATTCTGGACCAGCTGGAGCCTCCGGGTGCTCCTCAAGGGGAGCCCCATGTAGAGAGCATTGCAGTAGTCCAAGCGGGAAGTAACGAGAGCATGAGTGACCGTATTTAACGAGTCCCGATCCAGAAAGGGACGCAACTGGCGAATCAGGCGGACCTGATAAAAAGTCCCCCTGGCCACGGCCGTCATGTGCTCTTCTAAAGACAGCCGTGAGTCCAGGAGGACACCCAAGTTGCGAACCCTCTCCGTGGGGGCCAGTGACTCGCCCCCAATAGTCAGTGATGGCACCAACTGACTATATCGGGATGTCGGAAACCACAGCCACTCGGTCTTGGATGGGTTGAGCCTGAGTCTGTTTCTCCCCATCCAGATCCGCACGGCCTCCAGGCACCGGGACATCACTTCAAGGGCATCATTGGGGTGGTCCGGGGTGGAGATGTACAGCTGAGTATCATCAGCGTACTGGTGGTACTTCACCCCGAAACCACGGATGATCTCACCCAGCGGCTTCACATAAATGTTGAACAGAAGGGGCGAGAGAACCGACCCTTGTGGCACCCCACATACAAGGGGCCTCAGGGTCGACCTCTGCCCCCCTGTCAACACAGACTGCGACCGGTCAGAGAGAAAGGAGGAGAACCACCGTAGGACGGTGCCCCCCACCCCTAACTCCTCTAGCCAGTGCAGCATGATACCATGGTCGATGGTATCAAGAGCCGCTGAGAGGTCTAATAGGACCAGGATAGAGGAACAACCCCTGTCCCGGGCCCTCCAGAGATCATCAACCAACGCGACCAATGCCGTTTCCGTGCTGTACCCAGGCCTGAAGCCCGACTGTAACGGATCCAGATACGACGATTCATCCAGGTACTGGGGGAGCTGTCGCGCTACCACACTCTCAACAACCTTCGCAACGAAGCGAAGGTTGGAGACTGGACGATAATTTGCCAACACTGCCGGGTCCAGGGAAGGTTTCTTGAGGAGAGGCCTCACCACCACCTCTTTCAAGGCGGCAGGGAAGACACCCTCACTCAAGGAAGCATTTATAATCCCCTGGAGCCAGCCTCGTGTAACCTCCCGAGAGGCCAGCACCAACCAGGAGGGACACGGGTCCAGTAAACATGTGGCTGCGCTCAGTCTGCCCAGTATCCTGTCCACGTCTTCAGGCGTCACAGAATCAAACTCTTCCCAGATAATACTCACAAGACCTGCCTCTGTCCTCCCCGCTGAATCTACCCAGTCAGAGTCCAGATGTTCCCGAATCTGAGCGATTTTGTCATACAGATACTGTACAAAATCCTCGGCTCTACCCTCCAAGGGGTCCTCCCGCGCTTCCTGGTGGAGCAGGGAGCGGGTCACCCTAAACAGGGCGGCCGGGCGATTATCTGATGATGCAATAAGAGTGGCAAAATAGTTATACTTCGCCACTTTTATCGCCACCAGGTAGGTCTTAATATGAGACCTTACCAGTGTTCGGTCAGATTCAGAATGGCTGGCCCTCCAACCACTCTCCAGGCGTCTTTTCCGGCTTGTTTGTTAACAGGTAGATTTCATTTTATCCTGAAGCAAGCCACCTATGTTGTAGCTTCACAGGTCTGGTCTTATTGTTCTCTTAATTCTAAATATTTTAACATTGGATCTTAATTAATTTATTTCAGAGTAGAGAGGCAAGGATTAGTAAAAGCACATATTTCCTTGAAAATAAGACCCAACCAGAAAATGAGCCCTAGCATGATTTTTAAGCATGTGCCTAATTAAGCCCTACCACAAAAATAAGTTGCAGTTAAGCCCATCAATTCCATCCCACCATCTGGTTGTTCACAGACACAGCAGGGCAGGGCAGGCACCATGCGGTCAGGCAAAGCAGGTTGGGGGGTGGTTCTGCACCACATGCCACACACCTGCACACATCAGGGTCCCTGCAGCCAGGCCTCCCATGCTCCACCACCAGTTTTGTCTCATGGCACTGGCAACCCCATCCAGCTGGAGCCCCCATTGGCCATCTGCTCACTCTGTCCTACTGTCAGGTTGCTCATGGCCACAACAGATCAGGCAGCCATACCATGCACTGGTACCACATGTCAGGTCCCACAAAGCAGGTGGGGACTGGATCTGCCCACGCGCCACATACCCACGCACCTCAGGGTTCTCGCAGCCAAGCCATCCAATGAATGCCACGTGCTTCCTCTGGCACCAGCAATCCTGTCCATCCAAAGCCTGTGCAGCCCACTTTGTTCCACCATCTGCTCATGGCTGCCACAGAACAGGAAGCCACACTGTATGCTGATGCTTCCGACACTAAGTCAGTCGAGGCAGGTGGGTGGGGTGAATCTGGCCCATGCACCCTGCACCCATGCACCTCAGAGTCCCTGCAGCCAGCCTCTCATGCCATGCCACCTCCTCTATCTCACCGCACCAGCACTGGCAACCCCATCCAGCTGGAGCCTATGCAGACTCCCACTCACTCCATTCCACCGATTGGTTGATCGTGGCTACAATGGAGCAGGCGGCTGCACTATGTGCCAATGCTGCCAATATGAGATAAGGCAAGGCAGGTAGGGGTGGATCATGTGCCCTGGTAGGATGAAGTAAGCGGGCAGCCACACGGGCTCTGGCTGGACAGGATTGCCAGTGATGGTGTCATGAGATGAAGCAGGTGGCAGGGTGTCGGAAATCTGTCTGTGGGACCCTGAGATGCAAGGGTGCAGAGAGTGTTGGGCAGCTCCACACACATACCACCACCTGCCGCACCTGATCTCATTTTGGCAGCAATGCCACATGGTGCAGCTGCCTGGTCTATGGCAGCCATGAAAACTAGATAATGGGACGGAGTGAGTGGAGAGCTGTGCAGGTTTGGGCTGGACAGGTTGCTGGTGCCGGTGCCACAAGATAAAGCAAATGGTGGGGCAGGGAGGCCTGGTTTCAGGGACCCGTGTGTGGGTGCAAGGCATGTTGAGCAGCTGCACACCCACCATCACCTGAATTGCCTGATCTCCTGTTGGCAGCACCGGTGCATGGTGTGGCCGCCTGCTCTGTGGCAGTTGCGAACAACCAGATGCTAGGACAGAGTAGGCAGGCGGCTGTGCGGGCTCTGGCTGGATGGGATTGCCAGAGGTAGCAGCACTCCCACTCACCTGCATTGACCAGACTTCGCTGTCCCAGAGTACACCAGTCATGGAGCCGGCAGGCTGTAGCTGCTGCTGGACACCTTCAGCCCCATTTAAAAGTAAGACATTCCCCAAAAATAGGCCCTAATAGGTCTTTTTGATCAAAAATAAATATAAGACCCAGTCTTTCACATTATCATTATTATAATGTTCATAAATATCTGATCAATGCATTTCTTCCAGTTGCTTCTTAACTTGAAGTCAGTTCAAAATTCTCTTAAATTATGTGGATTTGAATAGCTTCCCTATTTATTTCTTCTCCTTTAAAAAGCCAATCGATAAACAAAACCATTTTTTTTCAGAACCAGTGTTTAATATTACATCAGAAATATTACATGGTTAACATTTTAAAGCTGTGGAAAAAAGGTTGTACATTGTCTGCATTAATAAAATAGTTATTTGGCTCTATTGTTTATTGTAAGTGAATGTTTTAGTATCAAAACTTTACTTCTAATAATAATAGCAATATCACTTAGACTTATCTACCACTTCATAGTGCTTTTACATCCCTTTCTAAGTGGTTTACAGAATCAGCATATTATCCCCAACAATCTGGGTCCTCATTTTACCAACCTCAGAAGGATAGAAGGTTGAGTCAACCTTGAGCTGGTGAGAGTCCAACTGACAAACTGTTGGCAATAAGCAGTCAGCAAAATTAGTCTGCATTGTTGCAATCTAACCACTGTGCCATCACAGTTCCTCTAAAGTTAATTGCTGCTAACTGAAGTAAAAACAAAACATATCTTTGCATTACATAAATTAAACCTGGTATATTAATGGAACAAAGATAACTGTAGGCTATAAAACCTCTAAGTGTATTATATTTTAGACATATAAGTATGGAGTTAAAATTTAAATATAAATACCCACAAGGAAAAATGTGTTCTAGGTTGTATTCACTGGAAAGACCTCTATCATTGTGCATTTCATTTTCAATCAGGACATTAAAAAGACATCTACACCACACTAAAGTCTATCCTAATTATTTCTTTCCTTTTCTTCCACTATCTCATTTTTCTTCAAAACCATGGTGAGATTATCAATTCCCCATTATCAAATTCTTCTCCTTTTACAGAGCCTGTTGAGAAGAAGGGATAAAATTTCCCAGAAGCAACATGGAGAAAGGTATATAATTTATGTTTCCTCTTAGCATCATAAAAAGAAATTTCATGGCTTTTCACATTTAGGAATATCCCTATTCTTGTTGGTTTAGATGGCATATTCAAGCGTGTCCAGGGATCTGTCCGAGCCCAGTAATCTTTTCTATAATCACACCCTATGACCCAGTAGCCATTCTGAGGAGACAATGTGATCTTCCCTATTCTAGGAGCAGTTTCAGATGCAACACCTAAATCCCACACATTTTTATGGCTAACCTCCACTTCCCAGTAATAGTTGCCTTTAGAAAATCCTTGTTTTGCCAAGACAAATGTATGAGACTCAAATCTCTCTTTACTCATCAAAACATGATGAATATTTCCAGTGTCTCTCACACTTTTCCCATCTTCAGACACTTCCAATCTTGGATGAGCTGTTTTTAAGTCCAAGGTAAGATCAACTGCAAAGAAAAGAAAATTTCTTAACTCAGAATTTTTTTTTTTATTTATTTATTTATTTATTTATTTTATTTGTCAAGTGTATATAAAATAACAGGTAAAAGTATAAACATAATCTGAAAACATGAAAAGAGTAAGTAAAAAGGAATATTAAGACAGAGATGGTAGGCACCATGGTGCACTTATGCACGCCCCTTACAGACCTCTTAGTAATGGGGTGAGGTCAACAGTAGACAGTTTAAGATTAAAGTTTTGGGGGTTTGGGGAAGAAACTATAGAGTCAGGTAGTGATTTCCAGGCATTGACCATTCTGTTACTGAAGTCATATTTTCTGCAATCAAGTTTGGAGCAGTTTACCTTGAATTTGTATCTATTATTTGCTCATGTATTGTTGTGGTTGAAGCTGAAGTAGTCATTGACAGGAAGGACATTGTGGCAGATAATTTTATGTACTATGCTTAGGTCAGACTGAAGTTGGTGTAGTTCTAAATTGTCTAAGCTCAAAATTTGGAGTCTGGTGGCATAAGTTATTTTATTGCGATTAGAGGAATGAAGAACTCTTCTCATAAAATATCTCTGAACTCTCTCAATTGTATTTATGTCCAATATGCAGTGCAGGTTCCAGACAGATGAGCTATATTCAAGAATTGGTCTAGCAAATGTTTTGTATGGTCTAGTTAGTAGTACAACATTACCAGAGAAGAAGCTACGCAAGATTAAGCTAACAATCTTAATGCTTTTTTGGCAATGTTGTTACAGTGGGCTCTGGCACTTAGATCTTTAGAAATGAGTACTCCAAGGTCCTTGACAGAGTGAGGGTCAACTACAAGGTCATGTCCATCTAATTTGTATTTTATGTTTTGATTTATTTATTTATTTGCCAATGTGCAAGACAGAGCATTTTTTGGTTGAGATTTGAAGTTGCCACTTGTTAGATCAATCTGACGCATAGTCAAGGTCTTTTTGAAGGGTAGTTGCATTGTCGGTAGTGTTGAATAGTTTAACATCATCAGCAAAGAGAATACAGTTTCTTTTAATATGATCACAAAGGTCATTTATGTAAAATATGAAAAGAATCTTGGAAAAGAACATATATTTTCATCACTTTTTGAAAATGTTAGTTGTCTATGATGAACAATGTGACTATGTATGGTTTCAGAAATAATTTTGACAGTTGTTTTTGGGATGCAGTTGTTTCAAAAAGTAGCAGACAAGTACTATATATGGTTATATGCTATAAAATAAGTTTTCTGAATGATTTCCAAGGAACCACACTTTCCTAATAGAATCTATGTATGAAGACTTTACAAAAAAGTACACACTGTTAGATATTTTATGTGTGACTAGTGGGACACCACAATAGAGCATTAATGTATGCCTAATTTATTTAAAATAAGAGTCCATGAATCTTTTCATGTGATTTAATTCATACACAAAGTGATCACTATTTTTGTTTCCACCCACCATATACCTTTCTAATTGTGTTAAACCTTTCTGATTGATTACATAGATATTGCATTGTATTTGTGAAAGCAAAATTTGTTATTGTACATATTACATTAACCCAATTAGCACTAGCTGGCTAGTTATCATTATTACAAGTGATTAATACTTTATGTTTATGTCCTGATAGTCAAATGATCCACCTCAGTGATCCAAATTCTTTCAGACAATAGAAAAGTAGTTAAACAATTTTTCTAAACTTTAGAAAACTTCAAATTCTTTCAGACAATATTTTCTAAACATTTGCAGTAAATGAAAAGTGGTTTTAAATTTAAATTTTGATAATAACTTGCATTTTTGTTTGTGTTCTAATTGGATTTGTTGAATTGTCCCAGAATGTTGAACTGGATGAATATTGAATGCAAGTGTAACTACATCTCCTGTCAGCCATATTTTCTCTCTTTTTCCTCCATCTTTTTCTCCCTGTTGCATGAACTCTTCATGCTTCCTACATCTTCCTCTTCCATATACACTTATTTCTCTTCCTCACTTTTCCTTCACTGTTCACCATTTTTATCTGTGCTTATGCAATGTTATTCAATTATTCTCACCTCTGTAGAAATGGACATCTAAGAATTCTGTGAATAAAAGAATGGAAAAAATAAAATATAGAAAATCTGAGGTACGATTCTTTTCAAAAGAGAAACAGTCTTTTTCCCTTTTTTTTTCCAAAACGTTTTGTTTCCCTCCTGTTCCCCCCTGTCAATTCTTCATATAGGAAATGATTTTGTAAAGAAACTTTAATTTACTTTAGGCTTCATTTTCTCCATACCAGAGGTGGTATTCTGCTAGTTCAGACCAGTTCAGGCAAACCGGTAATGGAAATTCTAACTGATTCACCAAATTGGCAAATATGACCTCTGGCTGGCCCTGCCCCCACTCACCCGCTCTCCTGCTTGCTGCTCATTCACTGCTCGTCCCTGCCCACCCACCACTCACCCCACCCACCCTGGCCACCCCCACCCTATATATGTTGCCTTTGGCATGTGGCCCAGCTAATCGCCTCGCCTCATCACTCCTCACATGACCTGACCTCCCCAGTGGCATAGCACTCTGTGTGGCATTCGCTTGTGCATATATGCACAGTCTCTGCTCTGCAACTGTTACCTGCCTTCCCACATAGGGCCTGTGCCCCAACTGAACTGCCTCGTCCTGCCTACAGGGAAGCCTATGAGTCATAGGCTAGCCCCCCCCACATCCCTGGAACTTTCTGTGCCCCCACCCCATTCCCGGGCTCAGATGGCTGGCTAAGCCACTGCGCAGCTCCATAACAGGCCATGCTGGCTGCGGCCTAGCTTGGCCACATTAGCCAGGAAGAGGCTCACTTGCCTGACCAGGAATCTGGCTCTGGCTGGGAGGACATTTTCCCCATGCGACACTGCTCATCTGCCTGGCCAGTGTAAGAAAAGAGGGAGGCAGAAAAGTTCGGCCAAGTCTTTTCTTCTTTCTCAGCCTCAATCATACACACAGAGCAAACACGCACAGTCGCACACATCTCAAGGCACTGTGAGGTGTGTGCATGTTTGCTCACACACGTTAAGGCCAAGAAGGAGGAGAAGACTTGGCCAAATTTTGGAAGAACTTTGCCCAAGAAGGTATTCAGAGTGTTGTGGCTCCGTTGCCTGAGCCTGGGCTATCGACAGATGCAGACTCTGAGAGTGAGGGAGAGGAGTTGGCAAGGCCTCCCTCTCCAGGACCCTCCTCTCTGGCAATGCCTCCGGAGGACACCGAAGGCCAAACGATAGGCTCAGAGCCAAGCATGTCCCCGCAGCCACAGGTGGACAGCAATGAAGAAGATAAGTGCTGGCTGGACCCGCGACAGAGGTACAGGGAGAAGCGTGCACAGCAGAAGGGAAAGCATGCCAGAGATTAGCTGAGCCACTGGACCACACCCCACAGGGTATAAATGTGGGTGTGGTGGCCGGTTCAGTTTGTGACGAGCAAAAACTGGAAATACTCCATGATCTCTGTGTTACTGGACTTTGCCTGCTTTATCGGACTACATTTGGATTAATCCTTGTATTGTTGACACTCTGCCTGTTTTATCGGAATGCTGGCAGTCTAATCTTTGTTTTGTGTGAGTAAAGTCTGAATTGGCAGCTAGCCACTGGGTTGCTGCCAGCTTTATCTTCAAAGAGTTTTGTCATGTGGCTTATTAACTCCAGGCCGTCTGTGGGGGTGCATGTGGGGTACGGGAACAGAACACAGGGCTAGGCCTACACCAATGAGTTTGGCAGCGATCTAACAAAACATCTTCCAGCTCTTCAAGATCGACTAGTGCCCCCATGGAAGAAGCCAAGAAGCTGAGAGAAAAAGTAGTGGTGGCAAGGATGACAGGGGCATCTGTCTCCCTCCTCAGCCCTCTCCCGGTGACAGCCAGGACTTTGCCACCTCCTCTTTTCCTCAGAGGCATGGTGTCTGCCTCCATGTGTCCTTATGGAGGGACATACCCCTGTCCCCCCTCCACAGCTACTTTTGCTCTCAGCCTCTCGGCTCTTCAAAGTCAAAGAGCTGGAAGACATTTTGTTAGATCACCAAGGCTGCAGCCAATGCTCTGCATCATAATGAGGGAGAAAGAGATGAGAGAGAAAGAGAGGGAAAAAGAAAGAGAATGAGAGAGATGAGAGAGAGATGAGAAAGAAAGAGAGAGAAATGAGAGAGATAGGTAAAGAGAAAGATAAAAAAGAAGAGAGAGAGGAGATGAGAGAGACAGAGAGAGAGAGATGATGTCAGGAGAGAGGGGGAGAGAGAGGGAAAAAGAGATGAGAGAGAGAAAGAAAGAAAGAGGAAGGGGGAAAGAAATAGAAAGATGAAAGAGAGACATGAGAGAGACATGAGAAAGAGAGAGATAGGGAGAGAGAAAGAGAGAGAAATGAGAGAGAGAGAGAGAAAGAAAAAGAGAGATGAGAGAGAGAAAAAGAGAGATGAGAGAGACAAATTAATAGACAAAGACCAGAAGAGCTTGGTAGGCCAGGCAAGCGGTGCGAGGCAAAGCGCCCCTCGACGTGAGTGATGTCAAGTTAGCCATGACCACTCAATCACATGACCACCCAGCCACACCCACCCAGTCAAATAACCACTCAGCCACACCCACCCAGTCACATGCCCACCAAGCCATGCCCACCCAGTCACATGCCCACCAAGCTATACCCACAGAACCAGTAGTAAAAAATTTTGAATACCACCTCTGCTCCATACCTATTCTCACCTGGATCATGGAGGAAAAATGTCTGTTAGTTTTCATAAAGTGCTTTATTCTCTCTCAAGATTTGTTTTCTCATTGTTCTTTTGTAGCCAGTTATAACTGACTTTCCAAGCAATGAACATAAATCACCTTTGGACTCGTACTACTTCAAGAATAATAAAAGCAATGGAAACTTTAACTTTCTCTAGAATAAAATAATTGTCTTCAACCCTTAATTGTACATTTTATATTTTTCTTTAGCACTTCTTTTTTAATAATAATAATTTTATTTCTATAATTTTTTTCATTCTCTTATTTTATCCCTTTGATTGCTTTTGCTTACTCTTTCTTATGTTTTATGTTAATGTTTCACATGAAGAAGAGCTTAATGAGTAAATAGTTAATATGTCCCATGGGATAATAAAATGAAATGGGAGAACAGAAGGTATTTCTTAAAAGAATTAGAATAAAGATAAAATGTGTAGCTACATTATTAATCTCAACCAGTGTTTCTCAATCTTATTAACTTTAAGAATTATGGACATCAGCTTCCAGATTTATTTTATTCATTTATTCTGCATATGGCATAGAGTACATGAAAAATAGTAGTAAAAATATCTAAAAGGAGCATATAAGATTATTCCGCTCCCAGAATTCCCCTGTCAGAGAAGCCATTGCATTTTCAATATCCTAGCTCTACCCTCTCAGGTCTCATTGACAATTATCTGCAAGAGGAAAACACCAGGACTAGTTACAGCTCCAGAAAGCAATCCTAGATAGACAATGTAACATTTAACATTACAAAAGAAGATTTTACTTTTTAAATACTATTTTAAAGTATTAAACTATTCGTTTTTAAATTTCAGTTAAATACCCTTTATTACAATGTATTCTTTATATTAATCAATCATTCAAATGCTGAGATTCATTAACATACTTACCATTTTCTGCCTGTAACTGATCTGCAAAGGAAAAGCGGAACCTTTTTACACATTTCAAAAAAATTAGGAATTTATCTTGCATGAAAATTAAACAAGCCTAAAACAAATAAATAATTAAAATCTTAGTTTAAAGAGACTTACTATTTTCTTTCTTTAACTGATCTGGGGGAAAGAAAGAAAAAAGAAGTCTATATATTAATATATCATTTCCCTTATTAGTACACAATGTTCACCTAATATAAAGAATCACTAAAATTATTACATTAAATTCTACTTTTTATTGTGTAAGATTTATATTTTATTTCTCTTTAAACTAAATTTAAAAATCATATACTTTTGTAGATTCTAGAATATGTTTTTTGGTGTAGTTAGTTGATCATAAGTAATTTTTTCAAGGTTATCCTGAAGCTGTCTGAATCATTAATATGGAAAGTAACTGCCAATAACTCATTACTCACTTGTCCATATCACAATGATAATTACTAGTCTATGCAATACAATCTGTGAAATTAATTCATAAATTTCAAATTAATCCAAAAAGTAAAAGCAAGCAAAGATACTCCTCCCAAAACAATCTCATCATTTGTTATCTTTAACGTGAAATATTTTTCTATAGAAATATGGATAAATGTATCTATATACAAGAGCAAACAAGATTATCCATTATTAAAGAGATATCATAGGAATGTGCATGGAAAAGAAAGAGTAATCTGTATCATTCTTGGAGTTTAAATTGCTGATCAGATGGTTAAAAAATAAATTTTGAAAAGAACTATTTCTTACTTTTTTTACATTTTTGAGTCAATATGGTTAGTAGCTATGCTTTTACATTTCTCCTGGCACACTAAACTCTCATTCCAATGGGGGGGGAAGGGGGGGGAGAATCATGTGCTTCTTACTACTATTCTACCAGAATATGCAAACTTCATTTCGCCTATCCAGCTTGGCTTTTAATTCATTAACATTTAGAGCTATATATTTTTTATTTTGTCACATAATCTACTTAATTTTTGTTGGATATCATTCTCAGGCAAAGGTATAACATTCTATGCATACAAATGAATACATACATTTATATTCTCAAACAATAACAATATACCTCATCATAGTCCCCACAGCATTTTCTAAATACATTACTGTATTTTTCGGAGTATAAGACGCACCTTTTCCTCCGCTAAAAGGGGGTGAAAATTTAGATGTGTCTTATACACCGAATGTAGCCCCACCCACCCACTGGCCCCCACTCTTTGGCCTCTGCCTTGCAGCAGTCACCTCCTTGCAGCAAACAGCAAGAAGAAACAGCTCCTTTCAGCTTCAGCACAGCCTAATTAGTACAAGTTGTTTGGATTGGCCTCCTGACTCTCAGCTGATTTGCTCTCAGCTGTTTTGCTCAGGCTCTGCTGCTTGCTGCAAAGATGGAAATTGCTGGAGCAGATTTTTTTTTCCTTGTGCTAATCAAGCTATGCTGAAAACAAAAATGAAAATAAAGCAGGCTGTTTGCTGTTTGCTCCAACGAGGCAAAATTGCTCAGAGGCAGAGGCAGAGGCAGAGGGAGATTTCTTTTTCTTCTTTTCCTCACCAAAAATGGTAGGTGCATCTTATACTCCGGTGCGTCTTATACTCCAAAAAATATGGTAAATATTCAACCTGAGTGAGAAAAAAGGATATATATATATATATATATATCCTTTGGCTCCGAGTTTGAGGTCTTGTCACTGACACACGCCATGAACACATGGCAAGACCTCAAACTCGGAGCCAAACCAAAGTCCGGGATGTGGCATCACAGCCATCTGCTCAGGATATTACATCAAAAAACTCAGGATATCACAACACTAGAACTCAGGATGTTAACACACAGCTCATTACCCAGGTCGTTAAAACACAAAAGTCTAATGAGCACACATCAAGGACCTCACCCACACAGGATGTTATGAAACAGCCGACTAATCTGCAAACATCAACTCCATCAACCAATCAAGATGTAACAACACAGGCAATCAATCCGCTCACAACAACAAAGCCAGCACCCCACACCTCCCCACCAGTATTTATAGAAAGATAGTAGCTCTGATCATGCTTTCCTCGCACAAACACGAAGCTGAAGACATCAGCCTGAAGATGACGAGTGGGACCTCGTCGAAACGTCGCCAAGATTCAATCTTACACAGGAAAAGACCCGAATACACCAAAACTTGCATATATATATATATATATATTGTCAGCATTCCAAATTGTGATCTCTTTCAGCGCTGACATAAAAGACACAGGAAGACTTGCTTAATGCTGTGATGAACTTTCACCTAGTTGCTGGCTCTTCAGCAGATAGCATTACTGGGGCAACAGAGGGAGGGGGGAATTCTTGTGAAGAGAAAGTGCATGGCACGAAGAGATGGACCTGCATAGTGGCCAATGAGACATTGGGGTTGAAGAACGGAAAGGGAGGGGTGTGGAAGGAGGTGCCAATCTTGGCTGCAACAGAGTTCAGGAAAGTCGTTCTCTATTCTTAAATAAAGAAAAAAGATTCATTAGAGACTTTGTGTTTGAAAATGAAGTTTATTTAAGATACCAACGAAACCTGACATATCTATATAATACTTTTCTAGTCAGGGTTTTTTCCTACATAGCTCAAGATGTTTGTATAGCCATAGTGGGGTGATATCTCAAATCACCACTTTCAGGCTTTATTGGACATTTTGTGTTGTCTGTTGTGAGACTTAAGGGAGACTGGGATAGTACTATTTCTGTCTTATGAGACTTCTTCAGCCAGCCACACCCTTATTTTATGACTCCTCCCTGTAAAGGTTAAATATTTATTTTTATTTTGTTCTTTTAATTTGTAGGTTCATATGTATAATACTTTTCTAGTCAGGGTTTTTTCTGATAAAGCCTGTTTTGTCTGATAAAGCCTGAAAGTGGTGATTTGAGATATCACCCCACTATGTCTATACAAACATCTTGAGCTATGTAGAAAAAACCCTGACTAGAAAAGTATTATACATATGAACCTACGATTAAAAGAACAAAATAAAAATAAATATTTGACCTTTACAGGGAGGAGTCATAAAATAAGAGTGTGGCTGCTGAAGAAGTCTCATAAGACAGAAATAGTACTATCCCAGTCTCCCTTAAGTCTCACAACAGACAACACAAAATGTCTGATAAAGCCTGAAAGTGGTGATTTGAGATATCACCCCACTATGGCTATACAAACATCTTGAGCTACGTAGAAAAAACCCTGACTAGAAAAGTATTATACATATGAACCTACGAATTAAAAGAACAAAATAAAAATAAATATTTGACCTTTACAGGGAAGAGTCATAAAATAAGGGTGTGGCTGGCTGAAGAAGTCTCATAAGACAGAAATAGTACTATCCCAGTCTCCCTTAAGTCTCACAACAGACAACACAAAATGTCTGATAAAGCCTGAAAGTGGTGATTTGAGATATCACCCCACTATGGCTATACAAACATCTTGAGCTATGTAGGAAAAAACCCTTGACTAGAAAAGTATTATACATATGAACCTACGAATTAAAAGAACAATATATATGTATCATCTATATCTATATTTATACCTATCTATTATTCTCACACACACACACACACACACACACACACACACACACACACATATATATATCCTTTTTTTCCTCACTCATTTTTCCTTCAATGATATACTCCTCTTAGAGCATTCAGCAACCACTGTTTCGTGCTGCGTTGATGCAAAATATTCCATAATCTAAGATTATTTATTTCCTCATGTACCGTACTTTCTTTAAATTAGCCATCTATGTATTTTTAACATTCTCACAGAATTTATGGCTTGCTTTCCACATGATAATCAAATTGTTACTTTTCCTTTTATAGACACATATATATCCTTATTTTAATACTAACATTTCTTTTTGTACAATGTATCCACCTGCATTTTTTAAACATATCTTTGTTTCCATCTTTTTCTTAGTCAATAATATTTATGGCATTCACTTTTATTTTATTTTTTATATATTTTTTATATATTACTATCAGCCATCACCGTCCTCCACCTGGTTGTCGCACAGCAGCCACCATTGCTGCACCATTTATTTCAGCATTCCCTCCATGAATGTCAATCTAAATTGCATTTCATCTCTTTTATCTTTAATTCCTTTCACTCATACAGAAGATCCATTTTCACCCACTTTCAAAATAATGTCTCATTTTCAATATACTGTTCTACAATTTCCCTGCCTCTTTGTTTTTTAACTCTTTTTTACTTTCTTCAACAGCGTTTTTGTGCCTAGATTTCTCTCTGTGTAAAAATTATACCACATCTTTCTCACATGATCATTCAGTCATTTTTAACTTGATGGGGAAGAAAAAATAGGAACTAAAAACAGACATCTGAAAAACAGAATTAAACATTTAGATTTTAGATTTTACAAGACTGTTAATCTGTAAACTGTATTTATCTATGCCAATATATTTTGAAATTACTTATAATTCTCCAAGGCCATGTGTTGTCTATGATGTCCTTAAGATATCCAAATCTTGGCTCCATGCATTCATAAATCCTCAAAGAAAAAACAATGTCTAAAATATAAAAGATATATTGAACCATGTTAGTAAATTCTTACAATATGTTTGTTTTGGTGTTTTAAAATCGTAACTTGACTTTAAGTAGGAGCTTCCCAGCCATGCTATCGTCCTGAATCATGATGAATAGCTAATGCAAAATATGTTTATTTAATTGTCAAGCTCAGTGGATTTTAAATTTGTGCGAGCACGAGCACACGATGCTTCTGCACATGTGCAGAGACATCTGGGCAGGTGGGCGGAGCCTCCCACCACTGCCACTACCAGTTCACCCAATCCGGGGCGAACCAGTAACAACCCACCACTGGGCTGAACATACAGTAGAATCTTAGTTCTCTCCAGAGCTGGTCGCTACTAAACTAACTCTGTTTAGGATCAGGTAATGGCATTGATTCCTTCTACTATTTCTAATTAAAATACACTACTAATATATATTGAGTAAGCAGGGAACTCAATTGTGGAAATAAAGGATATGTCCTCCAAACTCTATTCTTCCTTTCCTTGTGGATATTTTTGCTTTATGAAAGTGTCCTCAATGAGTGGTAATGTCTGACAGAGAAATTTTCCCGTATCTTTTTCTATCAATTCTCCTCTAATTTAATAGACTACTAGACTTTGCTTCAAAAATTAGTTCAAAGAAATAAAGACATTCCCACAGAAGAGCTTGTAGTGTGTTCATTTATTTAGTCATGAAGTAACTAAGCATTGGTAAATATTCTGTCTTTTATTGCAAAAGCATCTCTCCATTCATCTGCAGATTTCTGGAGACAACTAAATCCCTTGGGAACATATGCTTAGGGAGCACTTGCTAAGAACATTTTTACTAATAAACCTACTATAATCATGGAGTTTCCTATTTTTAAGAAATGTTAGGAATATCTTTTTACCTTTAAGCACATGGACAAATTACTCACCCTTTTACTCTGGTTAAAAATTAGATAGAGAATTTCAAAAGCTATGTATGTACACACACACACACACACACACACACATACATATATATGTATATACTCCATTATTTTAGTAAAATCTTGGCAATATGCTTTCTTAAATGGAAACTACATATACACAGAAAATTATTATAATTACCTAGTAGCTTGTGAGGCAATTTTCTTAAACTAGAAAGACATTCTGTTTTTTGCTTTCTGGGGTCAGGAATCCAGCAGGAAATGTAAGAGGAATAAATGCCTAAAAAGTGGATGAAAAATCCAAAGTAAAGCTCCTTGGGTTTTCTGAATCTGTGGTTTAACTATGTCTATTATGATGTATCTATCCATCCATTTATCTTTCCAAAGTATTGTTCAAGAGGATCCTTGTAGTCAATTATGGCTGGATTAAAAAATATATTTATTTAGCATATGATGATGTTACATTAGCCAGGAGACTACAGTGCTAATGCAGAGTAGTAGTTTGGCTGCCTAAGATTGCTAGCCCTGTTTGTCTCACACCCACACACTTCCCAATGTGCCCCAAAGGGAGGGGTAGGCTAATTCTTCACCAGAAAGAAAGATGAACAGCTTTCCTGCAGTGTTATCCAGGGCCCTTTCCCTTCAATGAAACCACTTTGCAAGCCTTTGATGTCACAACTACGAAGAGTCAGCACTAGCAGGATGCTAACCATCCACACAATCTGCCAGCTTGTCTTCCCACCAAAGTGATACCTAGTCATCTATTCACATATGACATGTTTTCGAACTGCTAGGTAGGCAGAAGCTGAGGTGTGTGGCAGGAACTCATCCTGCCACACAGTGCTAGAATTCAAATTGCCAGAGCAAAGACTTTATCTAATTCATTAAGTCACTTAGCCACAATGTCTCTCAATGAAACAATAAGCAAGAAAACAAAGTGATGTCCATAACTTCTTTAAAGAACTTCATGAATCTTTTAAGAGAAACAACCATTCAATAAATATTTTCCCAACATAACTAACAGGACACATGACAAGGACATAGGTAAAATAAATGGTATATGGGACTTTAAAAGTTGGGGGTTTTATTATACAATTGTATGCTTTCTTTCCCATGGTAAGATGTTTAGTTAATTTTAAAGAATTTAGACCTTTGATCCAGCTGATTAGAGCTGAAGGAATCTTGCTAACGTTTTTCTTCAGATTCATGTCTTCAGTATTTCTTCCACCAATTTTGATCTAAAATATGAACATTGTATTGTCAGATATAACAATGACAATCCTTCTCTCTCTTAGATCCCCACAATATAATCTTTGAATTCTTGGAATAACAATCTAAGTTAAAGATTTTGTCCTAACAGCACACCATCTGAGATATGCATGAAGTACCAAAGCAGAAATAGTTGAATTGTTATCACAATAAATTTCAACCAATAACTACAGATCACTTTCAGAAGAAAAATGGAACTATTGCAGCATATATTTCATCTTATTTTAGTTTACCAAATTCAACAGAACTGTGCAATATTTTCATTTCTTTTACACTAGTAAAAAAAGTTTTAAAATAATTGAAATTGATATGACATTAAAAACTACTCTTACCTCTTATTTCTGATGAAAAATTAAACCTGTGAGAAAATATAATAAACCTTCATCAAAAGAAATGTAAAGTAATATAAATAAAATAATATAAAAAGCTGTGGTGGTACAGTGGTTAAAATGCAGTATTGCAGGCTAACTAACTGCTCAATGCCAAGAGTTCAATTGTTAACAGCTCAGGTTGACTTGAACCTTGAGCTTGTCAGAATCCAACTGCTGGCAGAGTTAGTCTGCAATACTGCTTTCTAACTACTGCACCATCATGGCCCTTCCAAAAGTACAACATATCTGTCCCATACCCTGGTCTGAATCATGACAGAAAAAGAGGCAGATAATTGACTTCATCCAGGGCCCTTTGAAGCTGATGCACAACCACCTTCTTAACCACTTTTCCTAAAATGGATAGTGGATAAAAATTGTCCAGTATGGTGGGATCGAGTGATGACTTTTGAAAAGGTGGTGAATCAAAGTTTTTTTTAAGAGATTAAAAAACATTTCCTTCATTCAAAGAAGAATTAGTCATCACTAGAATAAATTCATATAGCATCTCCTGGGCAACTTTCACAAGCTAGGAGATGTGGGGAAACAATTGGCTGACCTCAGGTCTAGCAGGTTCAAACTATTCTCAAATATAGACAAGATTCCATCCCAGGCATGGAGTGGACTGGATAGTTCAAGCAAATTCTCCTATACTGCTACAATCTTATGCATACTGTCATAATATTTTTAAACAGTAAAACAATTAAAAATAGAAATTATAACATACCTTTTCTAAATTTTTTCAATAATCTCAGTGGTCTGAATAAAATATTCTTTCCAATCCTCCTGAAAAAATGATTCACTTTGCTATTATAACTGAACTCTCTAGTCTTAAAGGAAGAGTTGATCGTTGTCAGTGAAGACTACTAAATGGAGGGAACAGAAATTATATTGGCTTGTTACATATTAATTACCTGGAGAGAATGTGTTCAAAAAGCACCAGGTCAAGTTACGTGGCACTAATAATGGCAAATTCCATTCTAAGGTGTTCTTAGGAAGTGTACTGAAATAAGTCTCTATAATAATGCCTTTATATAGGTGTATGATGCAGCAATATTAGGAAAACAGATTGCGTCTGATCATCACATTCACAAAAAAATGATATTACAGATGGTAATCAATACAGTAATGCATATGTAAATTATTCATGTTGGAACTTATTTACTGTGAAGAAATACAAAATAATTCAGACCAATTTTGATTAATTAAAAGTGGGAGAGGGAAATGAGAAGGTAGGGAAAAAAGAATAGATCCTTCTTATACTTGCAATCACTGTCAACAAGTTGGCATATGCTTGAAGATCAGATTCACACAAAGTGTATTTATTTTATAATTCCTTGCAAGAAGGTGACGTATTAGACTAATTCTAATCCTATTTTCATCTTGTAAATTTGCTGGAAGCAACTGAGTGACTGCGAAAGTGTTGGGATGCTAAAAATGCTGAGATTCTTGGTTTTTTTTTTCTTTTATTTAGTTGGATTTTTCCTATCTTCACATGTTCTTAAAAGTGCCATTATTCTCACAAACGTATTGAGAGTTCTCCCTTCTTTCTCTTCTTCATAATATTTATAATGTAGATTCTGTATATACAAATCCATGTATATAAACAGGGATATGTACATACAGAAAACACATCATATACACATCGTGTGTGTGTGTGTGTGTGTGTGTGTGTGTGTGTGTGTGTGTGTGTGTGTGTAATGTTTAAGCTGAGAAAGCTATTGCTTAAATAGTATAACAACTACTTGTTGTTGCTGTTAGGTAATAACAACATAAGGGGGAAGCATTAGGAGGCTTAAAAAGTCCAGTAGTCAATAAGATAAACTTACAGCAGCATCAGTCTGGAACAGAATGATCAAATAAAACAATGAAGCAAAGGTCATTGCCAAGAACAGTGCACTTCAATGATCAAAGCCAGAAGAGTAGTAAACCAAAAGGATCAAAGTTGTGGAAATAGCCAAGAGCCTATCTCTGCAGCTGAGTTCAAGTAACAAAGGTCTACAGAAAATCAGGTTTTAGTGATTCTGTTACAGAATAGCAAGGTTTGGCAAAATTGAAATGATAGATTGAATAACTGGAGTCAGAAATCTAACAAATTTCTATTAATAATTAATAACTTTCAGCAGTTCTACTCTTAAAGAAATGCCTGTCTCCAGTCTGGATTTGCCTTTTGAACTGTATCTTAGGGATCCTTCTTTCCATGGAGCAGAACCTCAATTTATTTTCCAATTTCCAATTTCCATCCTCAAGATTAGATTTAATCTGATGCTTCTCACAGTATTTGCTAAGTGAATAAGCCTCAATTTTGTCAGTTTTACTTAATGAGAAACTTAAAGTGATAGTTTTACTTTTTGGGCTCTCTCTCCAGATATTCTGAACTGTATGTAAACTTATCCAAGGATAAAGAATATATTGGGGACATAGATCAGCAAATCTGCCAACCGTAACTGCTAAGCAAGGCATTTTTCCCTATGCATAGGTATTTCTATATAAGAGTAAAAAAAAATAACGCAAATAAATTCTTCTTTATTATTACTTATTAATTTATATTTAAATAATCTAATAACATGGATTGAGTTTGTGCTCTAATAATTTAATTGCTTGTTTTGACTGGTAAAATCAAAGCTTTGTGGTTTTTTTGTCTATGAAAAATAGATAATCATTTTTATAGAAATAAAAATATTATAGAAGATGAGGGAGAAAGATGTACTTCAGTTAAACTTAGCTAAATATTCTACATATTGAAGTAAATTACAAGTAAATAGCATACACTGAGATAAATAAATTCAAATCTACATCTTAATTATGCTGTAGAATGCACAAATTCTATCAGTTTGCATTTAAAAATAGTATTTATTAATCATCATGTTGATTAATAAATGTCCATCTGGGTTCAGTTCCAAGTGGGAAGAAAGACACTGGAAACATGGAGGCTGATTGGAAAGATGGTTTAATGGTGGACAGGACCTCGTGGTTTGAAGTCCTTGGCAATCAAGCACATGGGTGAGAGAGAGAGAGAGAGAGAGAGAGTTATACCCTCCCTTGCGCTTTGAACTTGCTTTCTGTTCCTGTGAAAGAAATGTATTCTTTTTTAAAAAAAAATGTTTTTATTATACATTTCCTTTTGTTATGCATAATTTTTCCATTTCTGCAACGGCAGTGTACTGTCTGTATCAAATATTTTTGATTACACATAATATTATACACACCATAATTATAACCATTATTCTCATAATATATACAACATAATCTTCACTCCTAATCACCCTATAAATTTAATCTATAATCAAATACAGGGTGGATTTGATTTAAATCGAGTCGATTTAAATCATGATTTAAATCACTAGTAAAAAGACTTGATTTAAATCAACTCGATTTAAATCATAATTTTTAAAGAGCAACTGTCATCTCTGCTACTCCTTTGACCCGCTGTTGACTCACCGATAGTCCCAGTGTTGCAGAATATACAGCCTTTTTTTAAAAAAAAATTGATATATATGCCGCCCTTCTCTGGAGACTTAGGGCGGCTTACAATGCGTTAAGCAATAGCCTTCATACTTTTGTATATTTTATAAAGTCAGCTTATTGCCCCCACAAACTGGGTCCTCAATTTACCTACCTTAGAAAGGATGGAAGGCTGAGTCAACCTTGAGCCTGGCCTTGTGCTACATAACTAAGCTCCATTTCATGCTGAATAAACTAAATTATTTATGTATCTTAAATAGAAAACTATCTTACGATAGATTTTTACCCCAAAAGTTTTTTATTAAAATAAATTCAATAAAAATCAAAAAAATCTGATTTAAATAAAAAAATCCGATTTAAATAAAAAAAATCCGATTTAAATAAAAAAAATCAGATTTTTTTGATTTTTTTAAAAAAAATCATTGATTTTTATCCACCCTGATCAAATATAATATAAAAATTGAGTTTTTTTAAAGATGGTTTTTGTACTTGCATATATTTGCATTTTGATTCTTTGACTTTATATATTTAAATTTATATATCCATTTTGACACTTTCTCTTTGTATATGTGCCTTGTATACTGTATATATTGGGTACATATACACACAAAAAAAACCACACATTATAAATATTATTAACATTTTCATACAGGAATACAAACAAAGAAGCCAGACATTTTTAACAGCAAGAAAAGGATGAATAAGGTCAAGAGTTTATTTTCTTCAGCTTTTTTCAGAACTCCAAATCTGTACATTTTTCATCAACACTTCCAGATTATTTCCATAGATTTGTATCCATTCTGAGGCTTTGGTATGATCTTGAAATACTTGTGTAAATTTTCCCTTACGTTAGTTACATAGGTCGAGGTTTCTATATTCTGCAGAGATGGTACCTTTTAAATTAAAACAAATTAGTAGACTCATTAGAGATTAACTGTTACAGAAAAAGGGGTTGCATATTTTCACAAATTTCCTAACTAGAAAGAATAAAAAGAAATGTTTGTCCTTAATACCATCAGATTTTTGGTACTTTATTGGATTTTTTTTGTATATGCGGAAGCAGAGGATTGGTAAGTGACTACAAATGTAGTAATTTCCTACAAATTGAATAGCAGGCTGTTAGATAAACTAAGGAGTGAATATGGTTCAACTTAATAAGGTATTCCTAAATCAGTTAATGATAGGGTTCAATATAACAATTATATGTGATAATTTCAGAGAGTCCTAGAAGTTTAACTCTTGAGAACAAGTTACAATGACTTAGAATGAAATTTACACAAATACAAAAGTGTAAACAATTATTTATCATGATAAAGTTTCCAGAACTGGATTATACCAGGTCACTATCCCAATGAAAGTTTTCCTGGATTTCAAAGTTGATAAATATTCCTAAATGATGTGAAGTATGGAACTTATCAATTTAATTCTAATAATACTGGAAGGTATCAGAGAACTAGGCAATGAGAAAAATACAAGTTTAGAAACTTCAGTTGAAAAGACCCTAACCCTGCAGTTAATTGGATGC